AAACATATTCCATATGCTTCTCTCATCGTCGAGAGGAAAAAAAAATACAAATTCGATCGTCCGCACTGTTCAGAAAAATTAATTTATAATTATTTACATTTTCTTGTCTCATTTTTAAGAACTATGAATATAAAATAAATATGCTCGTTACACACTTTTGATTCAAAATCTATATTATTCTTGTTTGTTTTTGAATTTCGGGCAAAGCTACACGAAGGCTATCTGCGCTAGCCGTCCCTAATTTAGTAATGTAAGATTAGAAGGAAGGCAGCTAGTCATCACCACCCACCGCCAACTCTTGGGCTAATCTTTTACCAATGAATAGTGGGATTGACTATATAACGCCCCACGGCTGAAAGGGCGAGCATGTTTGGTGGGACGGGGATTCGAACCCGCGACCCGCAGATTGCGAGTCGAGTGCCCTAACCACCTGGCCGTGCCGGTCCTAGTTAAAAAAGTATATACATGTCTTAGTTGCCAAAAAAGCCCCCCAGTGGCACAGCGATATGTCTGCAGACTTACAACGCTAGAAATCGGGTTTCGATACCCGTGATGGGCAGAGCACAGATAGCTCATTGTGTAGCTTTGTGCATAAATTCAAAATCATACATTACTTAATTGCCTTATTTATTTAAAATATGTTTTTATACACTTGTTCCAAGATAAAGATAATCTGTTTCCAAGACAAGTATTAATTTTACAGGTATAAAGTACACGCTCTTTCATGATTCACAGAGGCCCTAATGTACAGCTCAAGCTCCTCTATTATCCTATATTACTTCTATAACTATCCATACCCCAAAATAAACCTCGTTAAAATACAAGTCTGTGGTACCTCAGCACGTGCGCCAGGTTTGGTCCCGCTAGCTTGTGAGTGGGTGTGTGAACAATTTCAAACATAGCGCCCCCCAGGATCTCTGAGGGATCCAGGAACACGAAATCTGGTGCCGAATCTGGGTTCAGCGACTCTGGAAATCTACCCCTAAACTTGAGCGATCTCACGGGCGCGTTTTAGCCATCCTTGGTATCCCCTACCTGGGGGAGGAGGCTACGCCATATAGAAATAGACACCCCCAAGGCCATCAGAGTCCGCTGCTAAGATTGGTCTTGCTAGATCCAAAAACAGTGGGCGGAGTGTGCGGATAAACAAATTCACAAACACCACCTATTTCTGATCGGTAAAAATGCTAATATTTTGTTAATTTACGCAATTAGATAAAGGGCCATCCGTTGGCCAAGTGGAACCGAATGCTTATAAAACCATTTAACTCTGTATGTTAACATATAAATCGTACAACGTGCTTTGAATTTCAATAAAAGTACACGAAGCATTTCTTCGACGACGAAAAGTATTACACAAAGAGATAGTTCTCGTTAGAACAACTAAACCATTTGTTTTAGCTATTGATTATCGTGAGCAGGTGGTTCTGATGGTTTCCGAAATAAACGTGGGATATTTCAAAAAGATGAAAAGTGAAGTGGAAGAAATTTGTCATTATTCACAGTAAAACGGATGTAGTTTCGTTGTTTGTAGGTGAGAAAATGCTAGCGAAAGTAAAAAAATGTTATAAAACGCTATAACCTGAGCCTGCCCATAACTCGGAACTTAAAAAGAGGTCAAAGTATGAAAATAGAAAAGGCGATTCGTTTTTGATGGAGAAATATGGACGTGATCAATAAAGGTTTTGATTCGAATTATTTTAATAAAAGAGATTATAAAATAAATATAATAATAATAAATACAAATTAAAAGGAATAAGTAAATACACACGCGCACAAAACTAAATGTTTTAAAACTAGAGAATGTAGAGACATTAATTCTAAATTATTTACAGGATTCAAAAGCTGAGAACTTTTGTAACATGATTAATGTAGTCGTTTTCAGTGGAGTAAACAATAAAAGGGCACTATAAT